CCCCAAAACCCCAAAACCCCAAAACCCCAAAACCCCGGGAGGTTGAGATAGTTAAATTATAGGATTGAAATTTAATTATTTGTGAATAAAAGTAAAATGCAGAACAAAGGAAGCATGTCTATCTCAGTTTCAGGAAGGATCAGGGGTTTTGCGCACGTAGACATGATTTAGCTAATTCACATTTAAGATCAAGAGAAGAATCTTGAACCTTTCAAGGTCAAAGTGCATTTATGGACCACAATCAAAGTAAGTCGCCTTAAAAATAGCCTTAAATTTAAATTGATGCTTAAAATTTGCAAATAATCAAAAGTGCAAAGTATTCAAAATTTGCATCATAAAATCTCAATCATAAACTCGCTAATGGATTCACTAATTAAATTAACATAGGAATTGAAAGATAAGATTCAAGTTCAGACTGGTTACCCTGCCCAAAGACAAAGACTCTTTTATAATAACAATGAGCTTGACAATCCAAAGTCGTTGGATTCTTACAATCTTTTATCGAGAAATAATGGTATAAATAATTCTACGATCTTTCAACACGTATTAATCCATCAATGTAGTTATTGCTTTAAGACTAAGACCAGATATTGATTAGATGAACTCCTATATTGAGGTCTATGGCTCTGTAAGCTGCAATAAGAAAATGAAATAAATTATTGAGAACATCAGGCAAGGTTTTAATTCAGGACTAATACCGAGACTTGCGGACGATGGAACAAGTGGAACTTATGAAATGAGAAATACTAATAAAAACAAAATAGCTATTTTCAAGCCAATCGATGAAGAACCCTTTGCCCCAAATAACCCAAGAGGTCATTAAGGACCATTCGGTAGCTAAACTTTTAGACCAGGTGTTCTCTCAGGAGAATCATGCATTCGTGAAGTCGCAGCATATCTTATTGATAGAAATGGTTTTTCTAAGGTGCCAGCAACTACTTTCGTAGAAGTTGTTCATAACTCTATGAAATTTGTGCCTTTCACTGGACTGGAGGTTACATCTGATAGATATTTTGAGATTATGTCGTCTTTAATTAAGCCTGAATAAGAGGAAAAATAAAATAGCAAGAATAATAGTATATCCAAAACTAATGGCTCATCATCACTGAACCAAAACAGTAAAAATTCTAACAAAGATAAAAATCAAAAAGAAAGCATTGTGAAGAAAATAGCTTTAGAGAGCCAGATAGGCATGAAATTCGGTTCTCTCTAGTATTTCTGCAAAAGTGTAGGAGCAATTGAGAATTATTCTCCTGATTTATTCCACAAAGATGAAGTGCATAAGATCGCGATCTTAGATTTGAGAATTTTGAATCTTGATAGAAATGAATCGAACATTCTGGTCCAAATAAAGAAGGACAAAAAGACAAACAAGAATGTGAAGACCTTAGTACCGATAGACCATGGCTTGTGCTTCCCCGACAACTTGGCGATATGTTCATTCGACATTGCCTGGTTATCTTGGAGATAAGCAGAGGTGCCATTCTCCAGAAGATCGTAAGAGTTTATTGAATCCATAGATATAATGGAGGATATAAATCTTTTGGAGAGTACATTTAAATTTAGACCTATTTGCTTAAGAAACGTCAGGATAAGCTCCCACCTCTTGCAGATAGGTGCTAAATATGGTCTGACTTTGGCATAGATAGGACAGATCTTGTGTAGACCAGATGAAGACGAAACTCAGTTGTCTTTGTTGGAGAGAATCGTTAAGAAAGCGAGACTCATTACTGACATGATGATGAAAATGCAAACTAAAGTAAAGGATTCTAATCTTAGAAATTTAAATGACGACAGCAAAAAGAACAAGACCTACAGAAATATGGATCTAAGTGCAGACGAAGAAGAAAACGGAGATGAGAGTTTAAGCGGGGCAAGCAATTCAAGATCTAAGAGAAATAGACTTAATTCAATCAATGATGCTACATTCACTAGCAATTTAGGCAGAACTACTTAGTTGCCAATGACAGCATTTATGAGTCTAGGGGCAGTCGCAATGAATGATGATAACGGAAATGAATATAGGGTAGAGGCAAAGAGAAGAGGCATGTCTGATGTTGATGACACAAACTTCAAATAGCTTTAAGATAATGCATCAATTGAAATTTAGGCTTCTCTTAGCAGAATGAAATCAACTAAGCAAAGTGTTGAAATAGGACATTCTCCTATAGTTTCGCCAAAAAAGCAATAGAATGCATTTTTGTTTGATAAATAACATACAAACGGTTTTCATAATGACTCTAAAGGAAATACTTCGTCAGAAGAAGAGAAAATAGGAGAGAGTTTAAGCAAAACTAACAAAATTTAAGAAAACGGACACTCAAAGCAAAAAGTGATAAATGGAAACCCAAGAAACAGAAGTAACTCTAATTAGTCTTTTACTGAACCTGGCTCAAAGGTGAAGGATGAAAGTAAAAAACTTAGAAGAACTGCATCATTCTCTAACATTTAGATATAAGAGGCAACAAATGAGGAGGAAGAAGAGGACGAGTAAGAAGAGAAGTAAGGTAACTAATAGCAGATGCCAATTAAGCAGAGATTGATGAAGATGAAAGCTCAATAGCATCTCGATAGATTTTAGATGGGGAAATTAGATTAAGGCCTTATCAATGGGAGTAGACTAGCTGCTAAATCTTACTTCGAAGGGTCTATTAGAAACTCTGCTCACGATGAAGAATTCTTCCACTATTTCTTGCAGTACTTAGATGAGGCAGTTAGAAAACTCAAGGAGTAGGGCGGAAATCCAGAATTTGAGGACTTAGAAGACGACATTGGAGAAAATGAATATGAAATGGACTGATTAGAAACTCAATGAATGGATTGAAGCCAGATCAACAGGAAAAGAAACGATGAGTCACACAGATGAAAAACAGTTTGAAGATAGATAGTAGTTTCTACTTTGTGATTAATTGTTCTTTGACTGCTTATAATCATATCTCTTTTTATTTAAATTGTTCAAGTGAGTGGACAAAACTTATCTAGCTATCACTATTGTTCATATTCATTACTTTTATATTTTAGCATCCATATAGTACCTCAAAATAGAGCTAGTGGGGTTTTGGGGTTTTGGGGTTTTGGGG